AATGAACTAATTAATGATAATATTTGATGGCTTAAATTTCAAAAAAAATAAAATATACATAAAATATATAAAAATAATAATAATATTAATTAAATTTCACTTACCACTGCTTAATTCACTATATTGTAAGAAGAAAAATGTTAAAATGATTTGAAGGAAAGAATGAAGGAAAAAAGAGCAAGAACAACTTGCTGCCAGGAGAGGAAAACAAAAATGAAAGGGGAAGGGGGGTTCGACAAGCAATAAGGCCCTTTACCGACGAGACCCACATTGCTACCATTTAAAACTGATCATCCCTGCGTTGCTTGAGAATTCTCGTTGACCGAGATAATCATCGATAGAGCTCTAGTTGGCAAATATATATTACCAATGGAAATCTTGTCGGTAAGTTAAATAAAAAGCTGCAAAACCAGGCGCTAGCAGCCGGATTCGCGTGGAGTTGGGAATTGGGTAATTGCCAACAAGAGTAACGTTGGGATATTAGATTAAAAAGCTGCAAAACCAGGCGCTAGCAGCCGGATTCACGGGGAGTTGGGAATTGGGCAATTACCGACAAGAGTAACGTTGGAATATTAGATTAAAAAGCTGCAATTCCAGTCGTAGGTAGTCGAGTTCACGAGGTTGGGTTGGGGAGTAGGAAATTACTGACAAGAAGCACGTTGGCAAATTTACCGCTAGTCGTAGGTAGTCGAATTCACGGGGTTGGGTTGGGGAGTGGGATATTACCGACAACAAGCACGATGGCAAATTTACCGAGAAAACTCACATTGCAAATAATGCATTACAAGCAAGCCTCCTCTTTGTCAGTAATTTGGGTTTTGGTCCGCGTGTCATCAGACTGAATATTGCTTGATATTATCGACAAGAAAAACGTGTATATTGTATTAATTTACTGACAATGAATTTGTTTGAAGCATAAATAATATATATTACTACTATTTTTACTATTTTTGACTTTGCAGACATGTTATTTGTCACTAAAATGCTGCTTCACCAAGAAAGATTCTTACGTCGGTGAAGTTGGGTTTTCTAGTAGTACCCATTACTTTTTAAATTTTTTTTATAGTTCAAATAAGTCGCTTTCCCAAATAAGTATAGTACTTAAAAGTAATTAGCATACCGTAACCTACGCTCACACCTAAGTAGATCAACTATAGATATCTCAACGGGTATCGAACAGAAATGGGTGACGGTTCTAAGTGTTACGTTTTCCACTGTTACCAGACTTGTATTTCTTGAAATTTGTTAATGAAGATACAGTATTCCATGGAACCATACAAAAAAAAAAAGGAATTTCCAAACTTCCAGATCGCACTGAATCTCCCATGAACGTCAATGAAATCCTTTTACGTGGAAATCCCGATGGAAACTCCCGCTTTGGAAATAACATTCCTACAAAATTTCTTCTCCATATGGAACCTGGGAGTTACAGCAATAATAAAATCTTCAAAAACAATTCTAGCATTACCAGCGCTTCAATATTTTTGCAATAGTCCTTTAGAGAGGTAGGTATCAATATGACCTGTGAATTTCTTCAGAAAGAAGAAACAAACAAAATAATTCAGGAGCTATGCAATTGGGACCCAAAAGGTTTGTCATTAAGAAAAACTCATGACAATTTGAGAACTCACCAGTTTTATTTATAAACTCCAAGCAGCAATTTGATAAAATCATAGAATTGCAGGGTGGGAACATTTTGCTTGG